GAAATGGCAAACAAAGAGAATAATTTGCCGTTTGGTTTGAGTAGGTATTAATTAACAAGGACAACAAATGTGTGATCCTGTAACAAAACCTCGATGAACAAAAAAAAGGTTGTCGATGGCGTTCTTTCAACAATGACAAACAACGTCATCAACAATAAATTGTCCGGACATCGTGAAGAAAACTATACAACCATACAAACAGAGAGAGTGTATTTTGCACTTTGGGATGATTTGTCTCAAAGGTACCGGATCACCATGATGCTTTTTTCCCCCTGCAGTCGGGCTGAAGCCCACACTATTCTTCATTATGACGCAGCTACTTGTGTGAGGGGCTCCTCCAAGTACAGGACCAGTGCCTCTGCCTTTAGAAACATAAGCCAAGAAAGAGGAATTATTAACCACATTAGCTTCCATAGTTGAGCTAATGTTTTTTTTTAACAGCATTTTGGTAGGCACATTTAAAAGAAAATGCTTCCAAAAATAATTAATAAATAATACTAATAAATTATTAAATAATTATTAAATGAAGTGCTTCCTGTCATGTCCCATTTATATGATTTTTTTTTTTTAGGTTTTAGTTTAGGGACCAGAGCTGATTGGATGTCAGGGTCTCTTATATATGTTTCCTTTAAATACAATCACTTTTAAATAATGCGTTTTGTTCACTTATTTGATTTATAGCTTGTAGTCAATAGGAAATCAACCTTCTGGGTTTTAATGTAATAAAACTGTTGACTACAGAAATGTAGAAATACCTTGGCTTTGAGCATCCCAAATCCCACTGTCTCCTTGGCATACATGCACAGTAGTAGGTTGGCTACACGGGTAATGGCTACTCTTCCCTCCTGAGGTGGAAAATAAAGCACGTTTAGAACAACCACAGTGACACAAGTGCAGTATAAAACACATTATTATTATTATTATCCTGACATGATAAAGCAATAAAACCAAAGAAGAAAAGTGGCTAATCAAACTTTTACTTACCATACAGTCCATAAGTATAAACTTGAGTTTGTCTTCATTGAAGGCTTGGTGGCCATTCTTGTCGTAGGCTGCCCAGATGTTGCTTGCTATGGCGGCGGTCACTCGTGCATCAGTGTCCCCATAGCCAGAGTAGGCCAGAAGTGAGCCTTCATTATTTAGTAAGCTGGTGATAAATGTAAAGCCATTGTGTTACATCGTACCAAAACGTCTTTTCAGACTAAAATTTTACTTAGACCCTTTGTTTGTTTGGTTTTTAACACTTTCTATAACAAATAATAACGGCATTTTGTTGTCAAATGCGGTCAAGTTAGGTAGTATTTAAACAGCGTTGTGTTGCAATACCTTGGGTAACGCCATTATTACCAACCATACTACAGTACACGATTCAGCGTCATACCAGTCTAATAGTAAATATACTCCTGTCTTGCTGTTAGCCTGTGGCTAGCCGTCACATGCTAAATTAATGTCACCCGCTTAAGAATTACTCACAGTGTGCTTTGGACTCCGTTTGTGTTCGCCTGACTGAGAACCTGTGTTAATGCTTTTGGTCGCAACATAGCGCTTCACCAGTGCAGAATGAATGAAGCTAAAATAACGATAAAAAACTTCTCAATACAAGTCAGCTGACTGAGACATTTACTTATTTTTTCCGGATGCAGAGCATCATGGGGTTTGTAGGCATTTCTTCTTCTTCTTCTTCTTCTTTTTCCGTTTAATGGCGGATAGCACCAGTTTTCCAGGTACATTACTGCCACCCCGTGAGTGTGACCCGGCATCAACAACCTTATGGTCTTAATTTAATCATGGACAGAAAAATAATAATAATAATAATAATTTATTCTGTCATTTATAACTTTTATTTTTATGACATCTAGCACTAGCTATGAAAGACTATGCTATGATAACTTTTATTTTTATGACATCTAGCACCAGCTATGAAAGACTATGCTATGAATGTAGAGCAGATCGAAAACGAATCGAAAACATAATTTAATTCTTTCCACTCACAAACTCAATACTGATTGTCATTGTCATTACTATTTATTGCTATTAACTCTATCGTGAAAACAAATACATTTTCTGAAATTCTTGTCATTTCATTTCCTAAACTCCGCAGTTCTAAAAGCGATCTATTTTTCCTGGACCCATCGTTTACAGCCTTTCCTCCTCTGTCGTTTCCATGTTCTTCTTATCTTTAATTTGGAACGTGAAGGTTGAAGATGCCCTTCTAACCTGAAGCATTATTCTCTCAAACCTTAGGGGAATTAAGCATTAAAATCATTGTTTCCCCCCAACTGCATCATCATCATCAACCACGGATTCCTGAATTCACCTTTACACAGTATGAATGATCTGTGTTTTCCCAGCTATGATCTGAAGCAACCATGGTATCAAAAAAAAAAAAAAAATAGAAACAGTACAAAGAGATTTGATCTTTTTATTCTTTTAGTTTAACGTAACATCACACTGCTTTAGGAAAAAGCTGAATAACAAAGAAAGGCAAAGTTGACACTCACACTCATATATATATATATGGGTTTGGAACATGATTATCTTTTCCCAGGTGGTAAACGTAATACTGTCATACTAAAGGTAGTACTCCCTGAGTTGAACTAAACATGAACTTTTGAACTTTGGCAGTAGCAAAAAAAACAAAGTTTTAAAGGTGTAAATGACTCCTTTTTGAAGAGTATAATAAAGCCATAAGCTGAACAACCTTGTGGAGTGATAAAGTGAACCTCCTGAAATGTAAGTCAACATCATGTGTGGCAGACTCTGGACTCTGGGACCTGCATGTCAGAATATCAGTCGGTCAATGGCTGCACTGACATCCCCTCCTGTAGCTATGAGTGCCTGCAGGTTGGCTTCGTGGTTTATGAAGCCCATGTTATAGAGTTGATCAAGCTGTGACTGATAACGAACCTCTGGTGGCTGACGCTTTGAAAAAAAAAAAAAAAAAGTAATGAGTTAAAAAACACATACACAATTTAAGAAAAAAGTAGGACCTAGCGAAAACACAACTGTATATATATACATATATATACACATATATAAATATATATATATATATGTATGTATATATATATATATATATACACAATATGAACAAATAACCTACAGTATTTACCCCTCAGAATGTGACCTGACCTTTTCCAATTTGATTTCCAATTTGACACAACTATATATATATACATATATATACACATATATAAATATATATATGTATGTATATATATATATATATACACAATATGAACAAATAACCTACAGTATTTACCCCTCAGAATGTGACCTGACCTTTTCCAATTTGATTTCCAATTTGACACAACTATATATATATACATATATATACACATATATAAATATATATATGTATGTATATATATATATATATACACAATATGAACAAATAACCTACAGTATTTACCCCTCAGAATGTGACCTGACCTTTTCCAATTTGATTTCCAATTTGACACAACTATATATATATACATATATATACACATATATAAATATATATATGTATGTATATATATATATATATACACAATATGAACAAATAACCTACAGTATTTACCCCTCAGAATGTGACCTGACCTTTTCCAATTTGATTTCCAATTTGACACAACTATATATATATACATATATATACACATATATAAATATATATATGTATGTATATATATATATATATACACAATATGAACAAATAACCTACAGTATTTACCCCTCAGAATGTGACCTGACCTTTTCCAATTTGATTTCCAATTTGACACAACTATATATATATACATATATATACACATATATAAATATATATATGTATGTATATATATATATATATACACAATATGAACAAATAACCTACAGTATTTACCCCTCAGAATGTGACCTGACCTTTTCCAATTTGATTTCCAATTTGACACAACTATATATATATACATATATATACACATATATAAATATATATATGTATGTATATATATATATATATACACAATATGAACAAATAACCTACAGTATTTACCCCTCAGAATGTGACCTGACCTTTTCCAATTTGATTTCCAATTTGACACAACTATATATATATACATATATATACACATATATAAATATATATATGTATGTATATATATATATATATACACAATATGAACAAATAACCTACAGTATTTACCCCTCAGAATGTGACCTGACCTTTTCCAATTTGATTTCCAATTTGACACAACTATATATATATACATATATATACACATATATAAATATATATATGTATGTATATATATATATATATACACAATATGAACAAATAACCTACAGTATTTACCCCTCAGAATGTGACCTGACCTTTTCCAATTTGATTTCCAATTTGACACAACTATATATATATACATATATATACACATATATAAATATATATATGTATGTATATATATATATATATACACAATATGAACAAATAACCTACAGTATTTACCCCTCAGAATGTGACCTGACCTTTTCCAATTTGATTTCCAATTTGACACAACTATATATATATACATATATATACACATATATAAATATATAGTGTTGTCTTCGTCCGTACCATCTGCCGCTGTGGCGGGAGCGCGGAGGTAGATGGATTTGTAGTGGCAGGTGGCAATGCCGTAGGGTTTTCATGTCCACCTAAAGAGAAGAAACAAACAGCAGAAGAAAGGATGTTGAATGACTAGTATGACTATTGCTGCCTTGATATCTCAAGAAAGAAGTAACATCCAATACCTAGATATGAAAACTGAAATGCTTGTTGATTACATTTCTTATTTAAAAAAAAAAACATTTCCAAGCAGTCTGCATGAAGAGGAAGGTGAGGTCAAACCTGTGTCTGGTACATAACGAAGGTCTCTGACTTCTGGGAGATTTGGTGGAGAATTTGGCACTCCACTGAAACCTGTTGATCTAATACACAAAAAAAAAACAAAAACAAAATTATACTCCCTTGACTATTCTCCAAAAAAAAAAAGGATACGAAGTAAACCTCAAAGAAATGTAATGTACCAAAAGTCTAATCACATACGTTCCCCGACCTTTGACCGGTTGCATTGAAAACCTATTATTATAAATATTTTTTTATGCACTCGTCTTGATAGTACAGACAAAAACCTAGGATCGGAATCCGTCTG